AGGAAGGAGGAGCCGAAGGCACCCGCGAAGGCAGCCACGAGGAGCGAGCGGGACCAGTCCTGGGGAGGAAGACGAGGGCGCGTCAGAGCCGGCACGGGGCGCCCGGCTGGGCCCCGCAGGGCGGGACAGGCCTTCGCGGGGGGAGTGCTTTCTGAGGCCGGAGCCGGAGGGAGAGGGTGCCCATCGGGGGCTGGCGGGCGGGGTCCTGTCCAGGCCCGCGTTTGCAGGCGGGGACCCTGGGGTCCGGCGGCCACGCCCTTGCCTTCCCCCGGGAAATCTAGACCTGATGGCTCCAGCAGGTGCGGGAGCAGCTCCGCGCCGTCGTTTTGGCTGAATTTGGTGTCTGCCGGAGACGGAGCCCAAAGCAGAGCCAGACTCGGTTGCCGGACGTGCCAGCTGACCCTTACGGAGCACCTTCTACGCACCGTCTAATTCTATCCTGTGTCACAGGTGAGGGCAGGGGCCCAGAGCCGTCCCTAGTGCTGTCTGGGACGGGGACTGGCGCCCAGGTGGCCTGGCTCTGGGGCCCACCGGGACACCACGCTGCCTCTGCCTGCTGACTCTTCACCAGGATGTGGCGCCCCGGGGCCTGAGATTGCCCACAGCCACGCAGACACACACGTGCATGCCCGGGCAGACACACACACTCACATACCAACACTGCTCAGGGCCAAGGTGTCAATCTACATGTCGCCCGAGCCCCTAGGGACAACGGCCTGTACACAGAGGGGTACAGGGCTTGGCGTGGAGAACAGGATGTCTGCCTCCATGTAGCCCTGCCCACAGCCCCATCCAAGGACGGCCACAGGCAGGAAGGGCCACTGGGCAGAAGCATCTGGGTCCCTTGGCATAGGCTAAGCAGCTGCCCCAGGCCAGGCAAGGAGGGGCTGCCATCCCAGGCTGGCCTTGGGAGCATGGGCCAAGTGGACAGGGACCAGGTGCTCTGGGAGACCCTTTCTTGCCATCATTCGACCTGCGTGTGTGTGTGTGTGTGTGTGTGTGTGTGTGTGTGTGTGTGTGTGTGATCTAGGTGCCAGGCCCTGATACAGCCGTGGACAAGACAGATGCAGTCCACAGTTCAGAGACCTGAATCAGTCAAGTCCTGCTGGGAAGGGGAAGTGGATCCTTGATAGCCAATCCCTGCTCTGCCCACCTTGCTGGCCTCCTCTCTAACTGAGCTGTAGGGCCGGAGAGCTCTGCCATCCAGCTGTGGGAGCCTAAGCAAGTGACCTGACTTTTCCAGGTCTCATGTGCCCACCTGTGAGACGGGATCTTAACAACAGCACTGACTGCCGAGGAGTCCATGTGTTGTGGATAGAGCGTGCAGTGTCGTGTGCATGCAGCGAGCGCTCAGAAAGGTGTTTGCTCTTTGTGGTTCTCTCTCCTTATTCCCTCCTGATCCAGCTGTGGTCCAGAGTATCAAGCCAAGGCCGCTTTGCTGTGTCCATCTAACACCCTCCCTTTTAGAGACTCATATAAAAGACCCATTGCTGCCCTCTAAAAAGCCCCCCTTGAAAGCGCCACCTTCTCGGTTTTACATTTACCTCTTCGATCTAACCTTGTCTGACCCCAGCTCCACCACTTACAACTGTGTAACCTATTGCTGGTGACGTGGCCACTCTGTGATGCAGTGAAGTCATCTTTAAAATGGGAATAACAACAGAACGCACCTCATAGAGTGTGATGCACAAGACAGGAGTGAGAACAGGCAAGGACCTCAGGAGAGAGCCCGGTGCGTGCTGGGTCCTGTGAGTGCCAGCCGCAGGGGTCTTGCTTTATGAGGACGGGGGCTGGCTTCTTGCTCTTCCATCCTGGGCTCCGAGCCTGCTGCAGAGAGGTGCCTGGTAGATGCCAGTCAGGAATCAAATGGAGGGCAGAGGCAGCATTTATAAGCCTCAAGGATGGACACAGCCAAGTGAAGTGTGGGCCTAGAATATTCTCCTGCAGTGAGAGGAGCTTGAGCCAAGTAAGATTTGCTCATGGACAGAATCACATTTCAGATGAAATGCCCGGTCTCTATCACTTTTTTCCTTAAACTCATCTTCTAGGTCTCAGCACAGATGCCGCGTCCTGTTAGCCACCGGGCTGTGCTGGGCATCTTTTCTGGGCCCTGTGCCTCCCTTGCTCCCAGCCCCAGTCACCTTAAAGGACACAGACTCCAGACACCTCAGACCAGGAGCCCCTGTGCCAGAGGGTGGAGGAGGGCCCTGGTAGCCACTCCCCCACCTCGGCCACGCTCCTCGAAGCCCCCTGCCCCGTGCAGCCTGCCTGTGCCTGCCACCTCCCGCTCACCGGCCCCAGGGCCAGGGGATGCCCACTGACTGACAGTGGTGCTGGGACACCCTGAGCAAGTGCGGGGCAGTTCTCCAGCACAGCCTCGTTCCACGTGCACAGCCAGGCGGCCGAAGACGCTGCTGGCCCTGTGGACCAGGGCTGGGAGAGGCAAAGTCACGCAGGAAGTGTGACTCAATCTCAGACTTTCCTGCTTCAAAGCCACACTGCCCCTTTCAGCCACACAGTTGCCAGGCTGGGAAGAGCCCTGTCACGGGCTGCCACCCCCACCTGCTCTCCCCACAGCCCTCCAGTGGCACAAAGGCGGGTGTCTGTGTTTACCTTTCTTCTCCTCCCACCTGGCACCCTGCTCCTTGGGCAATCACACTCCGGTGGCCCCCTCTCTGGCCTCACAGATCCAGGACGGCCAGTGTCACGCGTGAGGGGAACTGAGCCCAGTTCCCTGGAATCCATGTTTTGCTTTCTTGCCACAGGCCCCGGTAGCCCAGCTGACGACTTGGCCTGGAGACCCTGGACTCTGCCGGGGCATCTCAGTGAACGAGGAGGCAGAGTCCACAGGAAGGGGGGAAGGGAGCGCCCCACAGGAAATGTGGCAATTGGATCGTGCCTGGACAGGAAGTGGGGCAGCGTTGCTTTCCCTGCTCCCAAATTCATTACAGCAACGGAAGATTCCTAAAAAGGAAACCCGTCATCTCAGGAATCACCACCCAGGGTGTGGATGTTTTTTTCTTGGCATCTTCTTACTCTTCTCTCCTAACGAGGCCAGCATTCCTGGAGGGGAAGGGTGACTGGCATAAATCCAGGGTGTTCCCCCTAATGACTAGGACAACGGAGAAGCGGCTGACCTTGCCTTGGAAGCCTGGGTGAGGCTCTTTGCTGACTCCTTCACTTTTAAACTGTGTGTCCTCAGACAAGTCACTTGGCTTCTCTGAGCTACCACTTTTACCACGACAAAATGGTGTATTGACTCCACCCTGATTGTCCTGCGGAATTGTTCTGAGGCTCAGAGAGAAAACATGCAGCCCCAGCAGCATGCGGAGGTGTGGGGGTGCTGCCCGGTTGCCTGGAACATACATGGGGCCTGTGGGTTTGGAAGGAAATGGCTTTGCCTCCAGGTCATTCATTGCTCCAGTCTGCTTGCTCAGCAGTGGCTGAGGGAACACCTCCTGCGTGCCAGCCCCTGCCTGACTCAGGAGGAGCGCTGCGGGGACAAGGACCTCAAGCAAGCCAAGACATCCTGAGAATGAATTTGCTCCGGGCGATTTGCCGTGATGTGATGTCTGAGAAGCACCTTCCATGGGGGCTGAGACTGTTGCTCCAGAGGCAGAGAGGCCGGGGCAGGGACAGAGGTGGGCTGGGTGAGTGCACAGCGCCCACCAGACAAGGCAGGGCTCAAGTCTGTAAGAAAGAGACCAGGAAGCCGCACATGGGGTCTCACAGAGAGGACTCGTGAGAATAAAAGGTGTGGAGCCCTACAGGCGAGTAGGGAGTCTGACATGCCAAATGCACGTGAAAACACCCAGCCTCGAGAGGCACAGCGGTGGGAAAACGGCCGCTGAAAGCACATAAGGAGCCACATGCGGGGGCTCACGCTTGTAATCTCAGGATTTTGGGAGGTAGAGAAGAGAAGAGTGCCGGAGCCCAGGTGTTCGAGACCCCCCTGGCCAACTTGACAATACCTCGTCTCTAAAATAAAAATAAGATAGATAGATTTTTTTAAGTAGCCTGGTGTGGTGACCTGCGCCTGTAGTTCCAGCTATTTGGAAGGCTGAGACAGAAGGATCTTCTGGGCCCAGGAGGCCGTGATTGTTACGCTACACTCCAGCCTGGGTGACAGAGTGAGACTCTGACTCAGAAAAGAAAAGAAAAAAAGTACATGGGGATGTATTGAGCACGTGAGTCATTTCAGGCAGTCGTCATTCTGCATGTTGATCAGTCGGGAATGCCTCTGGGAGGATTGGCTATTTCTTAAGCTGGTTTTCGGCCATGTGGCCTGTGGTCCTTGCCCAGAGCAGGATTCCGATATGCCTAAGTGGTGGACTTCCTGGGACAGCATAGGGGAGGCACCACACCAGTCTCAGCTAGATCATGGAGGCCGTCTGGAAGAGGCAACTCCCAAACAGACTCTCACAGGGTGGGGAGGCTGGGGAGGCAGCAGGTGTGAGGTGAGAGGGGTGGAGCCCAGGCCTGCAGACACAGCATGTGGGGGAAAGCCAAAGGGTCAGTGGAGTGTGGGGGGGCTGCCGTGCAGGAGGGGGCAGAGGAGGGGCAGAGAAGCCTCATCCCTGGGCGCTGAGGGTCCTCCACCCCAAGTCATCTTGATGGATATTTTGTCTTCGTCGTCTCACTTCCTCCTTATCCTCGCCCATTGCCTTGACTTCTTCCACATCCCCTCCTGATTTCCTCACCTGTAATGGGGGTGGAGGGTTCTCCAGTTGGGCGACTGACCTCTCCACCATTGAAATTGTTCCCACTAGAGCCAGACACCCAGCTCTTGTGCCACGAGATCTGCTCTCAGTTCCCCATAGGGATTGAAAACTCCAAAGATGCCAGGAATCAGGCGGCCGAGGCGAGTGTGCAGCTGCGGCTGGGCAGAGAGCGAGAGAGGGGGCAGCGAGTCCTCCCATGAGCCAGCTGGCAGCTCGCCGGGCTCCCTTGCCCAGCGCACTCTCCTTGCCTTCACCCATGCTACAGATCTGCTCAGCTCTCTTAAGTGTGTTCGCATCTGTTGTATCAACCAGCCCTCCCATCAGCCCTGGAGGAGCCATGCATGCTGCATCTGGGGGGAGGGACTGAAGACCCAGGGGGAGCATGGAGGAGCCTGCCTGCAATCCAGCACTGTGTCGCCATCCCACAAGGCAAGTGGCCTGAGCTCCAGGCAGCTGCTAGGAAAGCGTTCCCATCACGGATGTGGTCCTAAGGCAAACATTCCAGGTGTTCTGGGCTGGGGCCTGTTCAGCCTGCTCAGACACTCACGCCTTCATTCACTCCTCACTCACCCACGTTTAGGGAGTGCCACTCCTCCGGGCTCTCCCGTCCTTGCTGAAGCCCTTCTTTCTGGCCTTTCTGAACTTTGCCCGTCCTGTGGCATTCAGCTCCCTCCCCACCTCCTTCCAGCAGCCTCCCTGATCTCTCTGCCTGCCTCTGTGCCCATGTGCTCCTGCTCACAAGTGCCTTCTCCTCGGCATGGGCACTCACACAGGCAGGGACCATGGGCATACCAATGGGCTGGATTATGTCCCTGCCAGATGCATATGTTGAAATCCTCTGCCCTGCTACCTCAGAATGTGACTGTATTTAGAGACAGGGTCTTTACAGAGGTCATTACGGGAAAATGAGGTCACATGCATGGGGCCCTAGCACAACATGACTGATGTCTTTATAAGAAGAGGAAATCAGGAGCCGGGCTCGGTGGCTCAGCCTGTAATCCCGCGCCTTTGGGAGGCCGAGGTGAGTGGATTGCCTGAGCCCGCGGGTTCGAGACCTGCCTGGGCAGCGAGACCTCATCTCTACAATAAATCAAAAAATCAGCCAGGCGTGGTAGCACATGCCTGTAATTCCGGCTACTCAGAAGGCTGAGGCGAAAGGATCGCCAGAGCCCAGCGGGTCGAGGCTGCGGTGGCCGGGAGCGGCCACTGCACTCCAGTGTGGGTGACAGAGTGAGACTCCAACTCAAAAAAAAAAGAAGAAGAGGAAATTAGGACACAGATACACACAGAGGGGTGTGGGGGGTTCTCCAATTGGGCGACCACGTGAAGACTCAGAGAGAAGGAGGTCATCCATAAGCCAAGGAGCAAGACCTCAGAAGGCACCACCCCTGCTGACACTTTGACCTTGGGCTTTTCGTCTCCAGAACTGTGAGACAATCGATCTCTGTTGTTACTCTTCAGTCTGTGGTACTTTGTCAGCCCTAGAAAACTCACAGTTTTCTTAGTATTCCTAAGACCTTTCTCCCGACTGTTTCAGGGAAGGTGTCCAGTAGATACTTCTGGGACTGAATTCAAACTGATGTCCAGAAAATCTCCGAAGTCTGAAAAGTTGGCTTGGACAAGTGAAGATTTTTTAGCAGGGAAGCGGGGAGCTTTCTGTTGAGCATCATGTGAGCAAAATGTTTGAAATGACTGCATCCCTTCCTCCATTACACCAAATACCTAGACAGTAGATCCTTGACTCACCTAATATGAGAACCAAGAATAGATACAGTGTCCACTTAGAGGGAAGTACTATCTGTCTAACATGATTCTTCCGTGTTTCTGGGTGACCTGAGGCAGGTGGCATTACCTCCCTGAACCTCCATTTCATTGTCCCCATTTTCTGTATGGGGACAATGATGTTCATGTCAATTTCACACTTTCCTGGTAATTTGATAGGGGGACTTGAGTTGATCTTTGATGGGCCAAACATAGATTTATTTCAAATATGAGCACATTTCCTTCCAAGTCACAGTTGCCTCCACACCCATCATAGGGGACAAGGCACTGAGAAGCCAAGTTGGAGACCAGCTCCCTGTACTAGCTCATAGCCTTTGTCAAGTGGCTTCAGCCCGCTCTGAGCCTCAGTTCCTCATCTATAAAATGGGGAAAGCAATGCCTTCACCATGGTATGACCAAGAGAATCAATGGGAGACCTGTGTAAAGGCATGGCACAGAGTAGGTGCTCTCTGTCTGTTGGCTCTTTAATCTGGCTTAAAGACACGATCTGAGGTCCAAGAAGGAAGAGAGTCATTCTAGCTGCCAAGGACTTCCTGGAGGAAGGAGCAGGGGGACTAAGCCTTTAGTGAAGTGGGGAGTAGGCTTCAGTGTATCCTTAAGGAGGATGACATAATCATGGTCCACATTAATGTCCTTTGGTTGAGAAATGAACTTGAAATAGAGACTCCCTGCCTCAAGTTCTGACAGTCACCAGCAGATCAGTATTGATATACTATCTATATCACCCATCTCCTGTGTCTTATTCCATATACAAGGGGCAACCCTCCAGAGTAGAATTTATTTATAAAGACCTATGCATTTGTCCCTACACGTTTGACCTTCAGTTACCTCCAAAGTACTCTCCATTCAATGCAATACACTTATAGAGACGCTCTTTCCACTGCTCAAAACAGTTTCTGCCTTTTAGTGCCTCTGTCATTTTTTGCTTCACCTTGTCCATGTTGGCAAAATGTTTTTCTCTGAGAACTTTGCTTATCCAGGGAAACAACCACAACAACAAAATCACTCAGGGAGAGACAGGGTGAATGTGGAGGGTGGAGCCCAGGGGTTATGCCATTTTTGGTCAAAAACTGCAGAACACAGCATGGTGTGGGCAGGTGTGCTCATGAACCTCCCATCATGAAATGGGCAAACATGTCGGAAGAATCTCCAAAAAAATTGACTGAAACCCATCAGAGCCTCTCACAACAGCTAGCTGGTATACTGATGCTGAGGGGTCCCAGAATGCCTGCCTGGGGGAAGCCTGTACTACCAGGGTCCTGCCCCCCAAAAGTTAACTCTGGCTTGTATGGGGTCCGTCCTCTACTCTGCAATCCACACTGCTCCTTCCCATGGGACTTCACCTCCACCTGCTGCTCGCTCTTCTCTCTGCCCTGCTTCACTTTAACTTCCACCCCTGACTCCCCACAGGGGACAAAGAGGGTCTTCCCCAGGGTAACCCAAACCCTCCTACAAAGGAGAGAGAAAGAAACCAGGACTGACCAATTTCTTTTTCACCAAATCACTTTCTTTGTTTTCTGTTGGCTCCATTTCACTGAGCTTCATGGTTCAGTTTTCAGATTTTAGACTTTTTTGTTGTTGTTCCTGAGAAAGAAAGAAAGGGAAGAATCCATTAGACAGCTGCCGTCACAGATGGGCGAGTCAGAGGAGGTGGCCCTGGACACCTTTGAAGGTTTTCTGTGAGGAGCCGGCCAAGAAAACCAGGATGGGACACAGCAGAGTCTTCACCAGGGCCCCCGGGGCCCTGGAGACCTGAACACCTCCCTGCTCTCTCTGGCCCCCAGTCTCTCCATTTTCCAGATAGGGGGTTGGATGACATCTGTGCTTCCAGCACTTGCCTTGTTGCTGATTAAATGTAGGCCGCTCCCTAGAATGTCCTCCTTTAGAAGGTAATTCTTATGACGGTGCACACTTTAAAAACACTAGACTGTCTGTCTCTAAGATGTGAAAATAAAATCAGTGCGAATTAAAACGGAGTGCCTATCCCACTTGTCAAACTGGAAACAGTTACCAAAACTGTATTCCAAATCTCTGGGGTGACAGAAAACTGCATATCTGGAGTTTTCCAGAATGTGTTTCCAGAACCATAAAAATATTTACAACTTTTGGCCTGACTACACCACTTACTAAAATGTATCCTAAAGCAGCAACAAAAATGTGCACAAAGATTTAAGTCCAAGATGTTCATCATAGCATTTTCCATGTCAGAAAAATCATATTTACAACAGTAAGAAGTATCTTGCAAGAAATTTTGAATGAATTGTGATCTATCCATATGATGGAAACTTATGTAGTCCTTAAAAATTATGTACTAGGAGGACATTTTATGTCAGCAGGGAAATACTCATAATAAACTCATACTTGACCAAAAATGAAGATATGTAAATGAATAAACATTATTCAACATTAAAAATAGATGTATCAACTAATAGATTTACAGTATTGAACAATAAATGTAAACTAGTTCATGTGTCTGTTGTCTTAAAATAAATATATAACTTAAAAAAAAGACAGGGTCTTGTTCTGTCACCCAGGTTGGAGTGCAGCAGTGAAATCATAGCTCACTGCAGTCTTAAACTCCTGGGCTTAAGCAATCCTCCCACTTCAGCCTCTGAGTAGCTGGGACTATAGGTGTGCACCACCATGCCAGCTAATTCTTTTTTTTAAAAAATCTGTAGAGACAGAGTCTCACTAAGTCACCCAGGCTGGTCTTGAATTCCTGGCCTCAAGCAATCCTCCCACCTACGCCCCCAGAAGTACTGGGCTTACAGGCATGAGTCAACATACCTGGCCTAAAATAGTTATACACTGAATTATCTATTCAACAAATATCAATCAGGAGTCTTATATCCTGGATTAAGGAATACCACCCTGAGCAAGGTGGACCTTGCTCTGCCTTCATGGAGCCTCCGTTCAGAAGAGACAGTTTCCAAAGAGCATAGCAGTCATGCGTGGGTGAATAGAAGGTACATGGCCTGCTCAGCACAGGACAGGAGAGCAGCAGAGACAGTTTGCAGAGATGAGCAAAGGATGGATGTACATTTATAAGCACAGAAATGGACTTGCAGGAAACAGAGCAAAACATTGACAGTTGCTACCAGTTGGCTGGGTACCTTGGCCAATTTTTATCTTATTGTTTGTTTTCTCTAGTTTTCCATTTTCCTATAGTGAAAAAAAAATGGTTCCATAACTAGATAAACAAGTTTTTTAAAAAGCTTTAAATTAAGAAAAAAAAAATATTTCATAATTAAGCTCTAAAATTTTCAGGTAGCCAGGTAGAATTAAAATAATGCTTGAATGTTTTGCCTCCTAGGGCAGAAAATGCAATTCTGGAAGAATGTGCAGTTCTTATAGAATAATGGACTCTGAGCTATTGATTGAGTTAAGCTGTTGATTGTTGCTGGGTGGGCTGCTGTGGTCAAGCTTTAATGTGACATTCAGGCCTCACACTGAGGCGCTGACCCCACCCGTGTCCTCCCAGCACACACACGAGGGATGCTCTAGCCGCTAGACC